GTCTATATAACGTCATATTGAGTACGTCAAAATGACGTCATTTTGAGGTCATATGACGTCAATGACCATGAATGACTATATATTGACGTACAAATGACGTCAGCTTGTTACCTGGGTTGTATGAAACAAGTTGAATTCAGAGAGATGCATAAAGTACTGGTAAATAAAATGAAATTTCCGAAGAGTGAGCCTGAAACACTGTTACAATTATTCAAGGAGGACAACAGGCACACAAAATATCTACTTTCACTGCACTAAAACACACGCTTCTGTAGATAGTCAAACTAAAAAAAATGGTAGGTACTTGATTAAAAAATTCATAGTTAACCAAACTGAAACAGAGTAGAAAAGTAGAAAATAGAATGATAATAGGGTGCTGATGTATACCTACTTTCCCTATCTTCTCTAGGTACGCACGATGTTCTTCAAACATTATAGGAATACCATTTCGTGCGCCCCAAGCGATGAAAGAAACATAGAGAATAAAGGTTACGGAAGTGCTATTATTATGCCAATGCTGATAAATACACCACATAGTAAATACTGATCAAGGAAGTGGTAATACATTCTATATGTTGTGTATTCTGTAGTAATACTATAAGTACTTCAAAATATTCGGTGCATACATCGATAACTTGTTGCATAATTACAAAGAGTGTCAGTTTGACAGTTCAAATAATCCGACCGCGCAGCGGGAGGATTATTCTGTTAAACTCGCACGACTGTCAAAAATAACCTGTCTGTTTTGATATTCTTGTTTTCCATCCTTCTCAACATCAATCTCTGCACTGGGTAACGATTCACATTAGTTTGATTTGGTACAAGCCACTTATCATTAGCACAAGTTTTTGCTCCACTCTGTGTTGTTTTTGTAAAAATAGGGTTATATTGGATCCTACCAGTTGGAGAACCATCATTTCCATTTTCTTTTTGGTAAAAGTGGATCAAGAATTACGCTCCTTCATTTCCTCTCCATGCAAGTTCTACAGACGCAATCGAGAAAAACTTTATCTGTAACCCTTCTGGTTCATTTTCATCCCAAGCTCCTATCATTGCTTCATACTCATTGTCTCTGAATGCAGATACACTGACCTTCCTCTTATCCAGTAAGGATTGGAGCTCCCTTCTTTTTGAATTTCTCGCTTTTCGTGCCTCCGCAAACATTGGTCTGGAAAAAGGGTCAATTACTCTATTGAAATCCTTCATATATTCTCCTTGGAACTGTTTCCATACGTACTTGTTTTTTTCGCTGTATTATGAGGCTCATTGTTTTAAACGCACTCGTCTATCACTTGCAATGGTAAAGCTCCGAATCGATTATTCATTTTTTGACAAGGATTGATAAATTATTAAAAACGTCGAAATTCACGACGCGCTTTGTATCAAACAATATGAGTTGGTTACTATGGAAATGGAAATAATCAGTTACTCTATGTATAATCACCACGTATAATCGAAATTATACGACGTAGCCTCAATCAATCGAATGTTCTGATTGGTTTTAAATCATACGAAGAAAATAATCATCAGGACACTTTAATTTTTTTTTTTTTTTTAGTTTGACCAACTATAAAAGAGTGTTTTTATAATTTTCCGAACACTATTTTTCATGTTATATTAAAACTCTGTTCCTGCGCTATCTGAACCCAACCCAATTTAAGCTGACCTGACCCAAATTAAACTAACCGAACTCTAACTCACCTAACATAACCCCACCTAAATTAACCTAACCTTGACCTAACCTTTTGCACATATGTACCGCATACTCCTAGAATAATTTTTCTAATGTCTAGGTTTATCTCTCAGTAACAGTCATAATGTACAAATGCACGAAATCGATCATTTTCATTGCTGCGTTTCTGACGGTGGCTGACGGTTGCTGGTCCCATGATTCCACAGAATTTGAAATAGAATGTCACCATTTCAATTACGGAATTTCACACTGACAGCGTCAAGCCAATTCGAACAAAAACCTTTCTCATAGTTTCAGGATCTCTCTTTTCGCTTTGTTACAATTCCATTTCATGAGAATATCCGATTATATACTTTTTGCTACGCAGTGATGTTCAATCAGTATCCTGTAATGGAAGCCAGCTATCCACTTCCGGGAATATCAATATGATATCCAGAACAGAAGGACTACTCCCAGCTCTGTATACTCTCTTGAAACTCTCCACGGATAATATCACACGAGGAATGCCTTGTGCTCTGCTATTATCTGCTTCAAGTTACTCTCAACTACTCACCATTCATGGTCAAGGGTCACTGCAGAATGGAGTCCAATAAATATTTCAGATGTGATGCGACGTCTGAGGTAATTTTGGAAATATACAGGGTGCCAATTTGAAAATTTCTCACCCTTAATATCTCCCTCCAAGTCGATAATATGGAAAAATGGAAAGACAGGTCGATTTCATTCTCGAGGGGGATACTTTGAATGAATATTTTTGACTCTCATGATTCAACCCCCCAGAAGATGTAGATGTCATCCTCAGGATATGAATAGGTAATTGGGGTCAAGTGGAACATCAATTTGAACGGTACCTTACTTTACAGTTTCTGAAAAATAGCGTTCTAAACCTACAGAAGTGATTTAAACTTTCCTGCACTGAGATGCATGGTTTTAAGATTGGTATTTGAATTATTGTATTGATTCTCCTTTCAGAAAAACTGGTCTGGAAATTAGGTAACATTAATTAATCTTGAATTTACCATTTTCATGTTCAGATTTTAGTAGTGAATACCATGTTCTGTCTATATCAACTGAACAAGAAGCAATGCTATTGTCTCCGTTCAAAAGAATGCAAGCAGATTCCTTGATTTTTCTCTTCTGTTATCGTAATAAATTAGGTAACAACTGTCTATCTTTTCAACAGGGGCAACATTATTAGCCATTAGCCCCAATAAATCAACATCAATAAGTTATCTAATAGTGACATTTCGATAGTAGCTTATCTGCGTTTATCATTGGATTTCAAATTCTACAGATGGCCTTCTTTCTCGTTACTGCTGATTTGAAAAAACTCCGTTTTTTGAGCAAAAATTGTTCAGCAAATTTAAACGATTTGGTAGTATTATTAATTGAGTTCTATTTGTTGAGCTGTTCAGTAATACGTTTATTCAGAGTATGAATTGTGGAAATGGTCTACACTCTTTCAAAAATAACTGAAATGATTTATGAAGAGGCTGGAAAGTGCGCACGAAGGGCGGCATTTCTTTTCAATGAAAGAATCATATTCTCCGACCTCAAAAGCCCCCATGTGGTAATTTTGTATAGAATCGGATCATAATCACAAAACTCTTTTGCCAAAATGGATCCGCCAGTTTGAATTCAAAAATTTTTTCGGAAGATACTCTTGATCTCTGATTTCGAAAACACGCTGATACAAATGTTGAATAGATTCGGATGATAATAACAAAATTGGTCCGCCTTATCGGACCCGCCATCTCGAATTTCCATTAAAGTTTGGCAAGAAAATCATAATCTCCGACCTCGAAAACCTCCAGATACCAATTCAGAATAGAATCGGATTATAATATAATATACAAAACTCGTCCGCCATCTTGGATCCTGATGATGGAAAAATAATATATCGATAGCTCGATCAAACTTTGTAGAATGCTCTTATTACTTCGGTGAATCACTCATTAAACCGATATTTTTATATTTAGCACTAACTAGTCAGCAACGGCTACCCTTTCACATGTATGTATATTTTGATATAGCTAGAAGGATAAGTATTTATGGATAGAATGAGTTCGAATAGCAACGAGAAAATTCAATTTGGTAATAAACAAGCTTGTAATCTACCAAACTCTAGAGTTTACTCTAGTCTACAAGGCATCAAATGCAACTAGGCAATACTTCAATCGGTTGTTTTAAGCTACTGACATCCATGTTTTTCCTATTACAACTCTCTAGGAGAATACTCCATTGTTTTAAAATTGTGGTCGTCGTCAATCAGGAAAAGAATATTAGAGATAGTATTCAATAATTGGAATCACTTCATATTTTCCATCTACTCGTGAATTCTTGAAATGCAGAAGGAAGTATACAGTGAATTATTCGTATTCTTGCCTATTTACGAATTACTATCTCATTGGGAAAATAACTGGAAAATTGAAATCAGTAGCCATCAACAACCAAAGCAGCGTATCCATAATGCACTTGACACCCTGTACAACATAAATCTTCTTTCGTCTGGACAAAAAGAGTATGGCCCATATCTCTACCATTATTAGTAATTAACTTAGTAGACGAATGCATGAGAATCCTTTATCATGATATCATTACTTCTATCTAAAACATGGTGGTCTTAGCTATATGTCTGAATTTTCGTAATTTTCGAGATGTTAATTTAACAAATTTTTGAGAGATGTGTCGACAATAAAAAATAGATCAACTTCAATTTGCGACTGCGTGATTTCGGAATGACAACAATAAAAATATAGAAAAATGTCAATTTTGATTTGGATGTTTTTCAATAATTATTCAAACGATTTATTTATTCCAGAATTGTTCTGATTTCCCGTGAATGAAAAAGAAAATGTGGTTAGAATGAAGAAACAGTCAGCACATATTGACAAAAAAATGTGAGCTAGTGCAATTTTATGACTGGTTATACTTAGAGAATATACCACTGTGATTATCAGTTTTTATGTTGTCAGGTTATTACTAGGAAATATTTCAAGGACAAGACGATAAGAAAGCAAAGTGAAGATTTCTGTTCAACTATTGTTTCTATTGAGGAATTGTTATGAAGAAATACGGATTACAAAAAAAAAGTATTTGTTTTTGTATCGATCTTTATTGATGCTTTTTACTACTACAATAACAATACTTATTGAGATGAACAGTCACAAAGAAATGATATAAACCTATATGTGTTGTTATGTGCGGTGTCAGGTGTATTATGTATACAATTTCTATACTCTTCAAATCAAACTGAATCAAGCATTTATCCAGTTTCAGCTCCTTATAATTATGTAGTTGCAGTTACCTTTGCCGTTTTTCATTCTATCATAGTATCGATTCTGGCGGTCATCATATTGAGTTGGAGTTGTATAATAAGGACGATAAGATGAGAATCTCATATTCTCCGTAGATCGTGGTATCGATTCTGAAAATATTGAAATAAGAAGAATGAAATTAATATAGAATCGCAAGCACAAATCAGAAACTGTCAGGAGTGGATGGATGAAAGGATATATTTCATATCGTAAGTTGATCAATATTCAATATTCATGATGATAAAGTGAATATAGTAAACGAAAAAAAAAAGAATTGTTGAATCAAGCAAAATTTAATAGAATGAAGCAAATATGCACGATACAATATAATCTTGGAATGAGTTAATCTATATCTTGTTTGAGAGCGAATTTGAAGTTTGAATCAAGTAAATATGTCTTGCATTAACTCTGGAACTTATTCAATCAAGCACATCCATGAATTGTTTATGAAGAGATATTGAATTGGCTCTAATAATCATTTTGTTTGATTCAAAATGACAAGATATTGATTCAATCAGACATTTAGTTGATTCAATGACATATTTGGTTGATTCAATGAATTATTTGGTTGATTCAATGAAATATCCGGTTAGTTCAATGAAATATTTTGTTGATTCAATGGAATATTTCGTTGATTCGAGAGAAAATGTATTTCCATTCGACAAATTGTTTTGTTGAACCAAATTCAGTATTAATTCGAGAATTTTCTGAAATTTCACATCAATAGAATAAACTAAGCTAGGAAACTAGTCGACTTCTAGCATAGATTTCCAGTCTTTACTCCTCTTTCGATGATGCAAAACTATTTCGGATTGCTAATCATCCTAAGTTTGATTCATCCAGCTGACATTTCAAACACGAAGAATCAGGCTTCATGTATATAATGAATTCGAGGTAGGCATGAACGAGGCGAAATGATCGCCATCTAGAGGCCAAAATTTGACATGATGTAGGATGAACAAAATATTTCATTGATATAATATATTTCGTTGCTTCATTCAAGCAAATGATCCGTTCGAAACGAGTTCATTGCTACATCGGAATAAGAAAGCTTGTTAGTTGTTTCGAAGATTCTCATCAAAATGATCATTAATTGATCAAGTCAACAGAATTTTTATAGCTGAATCAACATCAACATAATTCAATAAACACGAGCACAAATGACATGGACAAGGGTTACACTTGCTCACAACTCGGCTGCCTGCCGAATACTATATGAGCCAGTCTTCACACACGTCTGTCATATGCTCTGATCTAAGCACATTCCACTGAGCAGTAGCGCATCTAGTTGCTAGATGCTAACAAGAAAACTATATATTTTGTTGATGGAATTGATATTTTACTGTTGATTCAATCAGACTACATTCGCGATTTGAACAAGCTGATGAAATCCATGAAATGATCATGTATCTGGTTGTTTCAACAAAAATTGCTCAGTCCAAAAAAAATAATTCAAGCATAAATAATTTATTGATGCAACAAATCCTGTTTCCGAGTAAGCGGTGAATGAGCATGCGCATGAGCATTTTACATAAAATTCGAGGATGATGATTCAATGAAATATCATATGAGTGAATTATTCAAAGATGAAAATATTGAATGGGTTAATTATTACAGAACCCAGCTTGATTTCATTTTACTACGATTCCTGAATTACCTTCTGTGGAAGTTCTTGGTGGTTTCGTATGCAAACGGTATTGATAGTTCGTTGAAGATTGACGTCCCTTGGGTCTATTTGAGGAGTACGTTATTTGAGTTATAACCTCGGGTTGAGAAAATTCTGGAGAATCTGGTTCTGTAAATAAAATTAAACTTTCAGATTTGGTATAATCATCAACTCCAGCCTCAAACGTAGTGGAATGAATGGGACGAAAATCTTGACGAAAATAATCAGCACATCGTTCCGTCGACAACCTTGAAATATCTCGAACAACTCTTTACTTAGCCTCGCTCATCTTTAAGCCAGCGTAGCCTCGTGGTTAAAGCGTCAATGTTCTATCCACGTTGGATTGCCGGTTGGTGGGTTCGATTCCTACCACGACCGCAGAAATTTTTCTGATGCCTTAAAAAACTGTTTGGGATCACACGTTGAAAGGTGAAACCCCCGTCATTCCTTGCTCGCAAAAGTCTCTTGAAGACTTCTGAGGGTTGCTCGTAAAGGGGCAACCGAATGATGGATAAAAACAATTTTCAGATCAAATTTTAGGACGGTAAAGCATTGGAATTTTTCACCAAAGGAAATATTCCCAACGAGCTTATTATAATCTCCAAGAGTTAATGGTATAATTCATTAGGAGTCTGAAAATAAGGAATTTTTTATGCGCGTGTGACAAATTCTCGTGTGAAAATCATGCAAGCACGGAAAAAATCATTTCTGAACGTGTAATGAACGATATTTTTTATTATACTTCATTGAAAATGAGAATACCTATAATATCGAAATATTACAAAAAAAACGAAACAAACTTTGAATATTCTCATTTTCACAGTTGTAGGAATGAAAAAACCTCTGAAAAACTGCTAGACCTGGATGTAACTGGTAATAAGCAAATTTTGCATTCGCTCGGCTTCGCTAAACGCTCCGCCTCGCAAATGCAAAATTCGCTTGTCAAACAAAGTGTCACTTTTGATCCTAATAAAACAATCTACTATTGTTTACAATAACTACACCTTTTTCAATTGTAATTCAGAAAGTGTAAGTTGTAATTCAGATTAGTAAAATGTAAGTCAGAAAGTGTAATTTGTAATTCAGAATAATTAATTGTAATTCAGAAAGCGTCAATTGTAATTCAGATTAGTCAATTGTAATTCAGAATGCATAACATGTAATTCAGATTAGTGAAATGTAATTCAGAAAGTGTAACTTGTAATTCAGAATAGTCAATTGTAATTGATATAGCGTAATTTGTAATTCAGAAAGTATCACTTGTAATTCATAAATACTATGGACTTAAATAAGGGTACCTATGGAATAGAAATCAACGAATGGTTCATTGTGTGGTGAACATCAATATTTTATATTTATCGACCAACGGGCATATCTTGAAATGCCAGAGCTGCAGCATGGTGAATGGTGGTGTGTTGTGCAGCCCTAGCACATAGATAAACAAGTCGTTGTTCTCCAACACCCGACCCTCAAGGAGAATGGATGCATACCGGTTGTTCCTAGTTTCTGAATCATAAGTGATACTTTCTGAATTACAAGTTATGCTTTCTGAATTACAATTGACGGTTTCTGAATTACATTTCACTATTCTGAATTACAAGATACACTTTCTGAATTACATTTCACTAATCTGAATTACATATAACGCTTTCTGAATTACAATTAACTAATCTGAATTTCAAGTTATACTTTCTGAATTACAATTAACTATTCTGAATTACAACTTATACTTTCTGATTTACATCTTATACTTTCTGAATTACAACTGAAAAAGGTGTAGTGAGAGTGTCATCAAAAGTGAGGTTATAAAAAGCAGGTGCCATTTCTTGGTATTTGGGTCTGTTTGATAGAGATTCAAAATATCCCCAAAGAGGGCATGTTAGGCCATTTTGCATATTTCACTCTTCAAATCTGAGACATAGGACAGCTCTTGAAATTGTCCATATTCATACCTTGAATGTTATCCTTGAGAAAAACCTCGAGCCATAATAATTATCATTATTAGAAATATGCGTTTTTTTTTCATCCGCATTTTCCAATTAGTTTGTGTTGACGGAAATATCCAGCTGCATTTCTGTGATATTTCCAACCTATTCCAAACTCGCCTGAACTTCGAGATAATGAATGATTAGTGGGGTAGATGTAAACTTGAATATACGCGCAAGTTCACTCTTCAATGGAAATTCAATTTAAGGTGAATAAGGCAACTTTGCCAACAACAGTTGTGTACTTTTCGTGGAATAAGTTTTCAATGCAATGGCTGCTTTAGAAAATAATGACGAAACAAGTCGTACGAACGAACATGGGAATTGAATTAAGTCTAATGTATATAGTAGATGGAGTGGAAATTGAGTGCGAGTATGCCTAACCAACTATAATCATGAAATCCTATTTTTTGTCATTTTCATTCCAGACAAATAATTGAAACATGAAGTAACAGTCCCCCTTAGTTAACTTTTTAACAACTTGGATTGTTTTCCATCATTTGTCCAAATAGATGTAGTTCAAGTGCTATAATTTGGTTGAAACGATTTGGATTTTCTTTCATATATCACTACTCAAAATTATCTACTTCGTCGAGCAAAAAGAATATCAATCAAAATTTCTCAGCCTATTGCGATCAAAAAATTCCAGAAGATTTATAGGAAACGGATGAGGCATTTTTTTAACTGAAAATTGCATACTGGCAGTCGATTTGGACTAGTCACAAATACTCCTATATCAATTTCCAAAACAATATCCCATAAGGACTATTTTTTATCAACGTTACAATGTCTGTATAATCGCATTTTTCAAGTAACCGTGTATAATGATGATTCTGATAATAATTTGAATACCAGGGACGAAACAATGTTCATTATAGTCAAGTCTGTAATTTGGTAGCCGAGGCCTTACCCGATGCTAGCAATCAGGCGAGACAATGAAATAGTAAAGTATATAATGTCGAATTGATTTTTGTTTGACTAGGCTACGCTTAGTCGGAGGTCTTAGCACTGCTGGCTGGAGACTGCCCTGCACTGATGAGAGTCAAAGAGCTCGACTCGGAGCTCAAAACCGGTCTGTAGGTGTCTAGCGTGGCCTGGCTAAATCGAAATCAATAGGCATTCAGTAAAGATTCACTTGTATCAGTTTCCGTTTATACGAGTCGATGCACAGATTCCGGGAGGATGTAATTCAATGTTCTGCGTGGCATCAGCCCGGAAAGTATTTGTTTTTCTTCCGAAATCTACCATTGTTGTTCATTTCATGAACATTGTGTGGATATGAATCTGAGTTGTTTGTATTTGTTCAATATTTCATTCCACTTTGGGCATTTTGGCTATTTCGTAGTTTTTTTGGATCATAATTATTCTATCATGCACTTCACACCCATCAACATACAGGGTGATTCACCATAAATGTCCCCCCCTCTAGCTCAGTTATTTTTGAACCGTTTCGAGAATTTGAAAGATAATCTTAAATGATTTTTCAGATATTTTTTTCCGGTTGCATCAGAAAATACAGGGTGCTCGGAACAAACGATCTACAGAGTACTTATTGATTTTTTAAAATGGAACACTCTGTATTTTATTCTATTTTTAGGTTATTCCTGAAGAGCTGATTTCATCAATGCATCTCACTTGGGGTTTAGCGGGAATGATTACAGAGATATAGGGTGTTTAAAATCAAGATTTTCCAACTTTAGGATTTATTTGTGCCGAAACTATCTATTATTGGTCAAAACGGCTACTATGTTCCCATCTCAACTTTTGATTTACTATCTAGTGAAATTTGATTGGAACATTTACAGGGTGGTTCAAGATTCAGAATTCTGGTCACCCTGTATCTGTTCCAATTATTAAATGTCAGTAGATAGTAAATCAAAAGTTATGATACGGACATGAAAACCGCGTGACCGATAATGAATATTTTCGTCACAAAAAAATCCTAAAGTTAAAAATCTCGATTTTGAACACCCTATATCTCTGTTATCAGTCCCGCTAGACCCCAAGTGTGATACATTGATCAAATCAGCTCTTCAGGGAGAATCTAAAAATACAATGAAAAATAGGGTGTTTCATTTAAAAAAATCAAATAGTACCTACCCTGTAGATCGTTTGTTCCGAGCACCCTGTATTTTCTGATCTAGCGGAAAAAAACTTTATCGAAAATCATTTGATATTTCAAATTTTAAAATCGGTTCAAAAATAACTGAGCTAGAGGGGGGGACATTTATGGTGAATCACCCTGTACAGTGTGTCCAGTTTTCGATGCTTTTGCCTGATATCTCAGTTATCTTTGGAGATAGAACCTTGCGGTTTTCGCGCTCCTGTGCCACTTTTTTGTGAAACTCAAGATGGCCTTATCAGATTTTGCAGGACAGTTTCCGTTTATGAGATACAGGGCGATTTTGAAAATTTATACTTTTTGGACCCCCTCTATATCCACGAAGTTTCTCAACAAAAATGCCAGATCAAAATCTTATCGCATAGAGAATTTCACGCATAATCCAGTGGCGCACTTAATTTTTTTTTTTCGGGGTATGGTTTTGGAGATACGACTCAAACTTATGATTTTTCAAATGGAACACCCTGTATTTCATAAGCTCATTAAATTCCTTATTTTTTTGTCTTCAGAATAATATATAACGAATGAATATAAAATTCTCAAAATTGCTCAAAATCACTAAAATATTGAATTTTGATAGTTGGTTATTATGAATTTTTCTAATGAAAATCGTTCCAATTGAAGAAATATTTCTTTAAATTTTTCCATGGAGAGGTCAAAACCGATATCAACACTTATTAATTAACAAAACACTAAACTTGGGTACCTGATAGCAACAAATAAATAGTAATAAAAAGTTCATAATGTGGAATAAGCACCTGATTAAATATTTACTAAAATAATTGAATTCCGGAATTATTCAGTAACTTATTCATTGACATGTTCAAATTGATATCCATTTTCTCCCATATACAGTTGACAAACTTTCTCAATACTTCTTAATACAGTGAGTGGCCCAACATACTTGAAGAACTTTGTGCAACAACAGAGGCAGTTTTCCAGGAATTACAAAGACATCTTTCAATGATTAATATGTATTGAGAAAGTTTGTGATGAAAAATGGACATCAATTCGAACAATTCAATGAATAAATCACTGAATAATTTCGAAATTCAATTGTTTCAGTAAATATTCAATCAGGTGCTTATTCTACATTATAAACTTTTCATTACTATATATTTGTGGATATCAGGTATCTGAGTCTTGTGTATTGCAAGTTAATTAGTGTTGAAATTGTTATTTACCCCTTCATGGAACAATCAAAGGAAATATTCCTTCAATTGTAAATTTCTTTATATGATAATCCCTCGGAAAACCCATAGCCCACTATTAAAATTCAATGTTTTAGTGATTTTTCAACATTTTTGAAGATGTTATATTCATACATCATATATCATTTCGAAGGGAAAAAAATAAGGAATTTAATGAGCCTATAAAATACAGGGTGTTCAATTTAAAAAATCATAAGTTTGAGTCGTATTTTCAAAACCACACCCCGAAAAAAAAAAATTGTGCGCCACTGAATTGTGCATAAAATTCTCTATTGGTCAAGATTTTAATTTGACATTTTCGCTGATAAACTTCGTAGATATAGAGGGGGTCCAAAAAGTATAAATTTTCAAAATCGCCTTGTATCTCATAAACGGAAACAGTCCTGCAAAATCTGATTAGGCCATTTTGAGTTTCACAAAAAAGTAGCACAGGATCGCGAAAACCGCAAGGTTCTATCTCCAAAGATAACTGAGATATCATGCAAAAGCATCGAAAACTGGACACACTGTACATAGTGGGCCAACCTCACAACTTTTTGATAATTCGCTCATAACTAGATCTCCAATTAATTATAACTTATGAGAAATTCTCTAGCTTCGCCTGTCATTGTCATCGCTTGGATTGTTGTGGGGGGTAGATATCTTTCCCTCTGTAATCAACTAGGAATTCTCACTATATATCAGTGTGATCTATGTACCAACAGCAGCGTATCAACCACGACGAGAGCTATTGTGGATAAATGCCTTTGTCAACGAGAAATGATAATATACTAGTATGTATTGTGCATGTGAGTAGAACATAAATAAAGCGTATATTATGGATAATTCCAATTAGTCAGCTTCCCGTTATGATCCAGTCATTATTGCTCGATTGTGGGGTGAATTCTACAGCTCATTTCGAACTCCTTGTCATCATTATTCCATTTCAATCGATTCCAGTGGAAACTTACCTTCGATTTGAGTCCTTCGTTAGTGAGTACACTTATCTTTTATATCACTTCCTCTGAAATTCAGGCAGTTCCCAAGATTCCTTGATAATAGACACCATTTCCTTATTCCACTATACCGGATGATTTTCCAAGGTGACACCCTTAAAACTTTTCTATCTACAACTATGGAGTCATTCATACAGTGCTAACTCGATTTTCAACATTTAATGACAGACATTATTGTTTAATCTCTGGTAGAAGTCCATGTTGGCTCAAAGTGGAGTGGAATTTTTAAAGGAGGAAGGAGAGCTCAAAGTCATCTCCACAACTTTAATATTGATGTAGTTATTCAACGGGACGCGTTTCGAACTTATAAAAGTCCATCTTCAGCCGTATTCTAAAAATTACTACATGAATATATACAAAACTTCTATTAATAGAGTTTACTGCCTTTGGACAATCCCAGGAAACGTTTTGCCTCAATTCCTTTCTTGACCAAAGTCTCCGATGATATTGAAAATATTTTTAATCGTTTCATGGATAATATAAATATTTCTTTTCACACTATTGACAATATTATCTCAGTTAATACAAAAGACAAGACTTTGAATCATAAATCTGGTGTCTATAGCATTTTTTGTTCTGATTGCAATGCACAGTTTGTTGGCCAAAGCGGTAGAAGGATTTCAACTCTTGAAACAAACTGACCAGATAAAATATCTTGGTATTTGGTTTGATGACAGGTTGAAGTGGGACAAACATATTGATGTTCTGACAAAAAAAATATCTCCAATTATTGGTGCATTGAGAAGATGTCCCAAACTTGATATTAAAATTGCAAACATGATTCTCTACTCTCATATACTGAGTCGTATCAACTATTTAATAAATGTTTGAGGATCTTGTTCAAAAAATAATTTCAATAAAATATCAACATTATATAGAAAATCGTTAAAAGTATTGTATCGTCTCCCATTTGATACACCAACCAATCAATTGTATGAAATAACAAATACGTATTCTTTAGATGAAATATATAGAATTGAAACTCTCAAAATATCATATAATGTCATAAATAAAAAATTGAAGTCGAATATTATTTTGATACGGAATTCTGAAATTCATAATCATGAAACTAGACAATATAACTTGTTCCATCTTGACGCCGCTAGCTCCCTAATCGGACAAAAAAGATTCACTCATTCAGCCTTAACTGAATTCAATAAACTACCTGATAATATAAAAAATTGCAGAAATATAGGTATATTCGAAAATGAAGTAAAAAAACTGATTATTTCTCAGCGGACTGGATAAAATTAATCATGCCATTTTTTGTTTTTTTCATTTACAAATATTATTCTTTGTTTGCCAATTTACAGTTGTTGATATATTTTGAATGATGCTATGTTTACCTATAGGTATATAATTATGTACTTCCTTATACCAGAGCCTATTCTGTCTGGAAGTTATTTGTTCAATAAATAAATAAATAAATAGAAAAATACAAAACCTCTCCTCCGATTTAAGATGAGTATAATAATACTAAGAGCTCTTTTGCTAACCACATACTAAATTCTGAACATAATTTTGACATGAATCGGGATCTGAAAATCTTACATATTTGTCAGAAAGATACTCTATTGCATCTGTTGAAATTTTTGAAATAAATTCTGCTTTGAATAATAATTCTGTCACATCCCTTAATGAACAGGTAAACTGTGATTGTGTTGAATTATTCAATTCTTCAAATTTTACCAAAATCAAATTTTGTTTTATGTTGTTTGGCACCTGCTTTGGTATCTTTCAATTATCATTATTCATTTGCTTTTCAGATTTGCTACTCAACCATCTCATTGGAATGTTCCTCCTACCCCCCTCAAATCTTCTCATTGTCATTTCTGTTTGATTGTTTTTAACTGTACTACCACTAGTGGAATTCACATTCACCTAACCTCAAATTAGTTAAGTTAAGATTAGAAAACTAGACGCATATAAAAGATATTTAAGAATAGAGTAATGAATAAGGATAATGGACCTATTCCATATAGCCCTCTATATAATTTAGTAAAATAAAAATTAAGATCAACATGTGAACTCAACCCTGACAAACATTAACTTGACGGTTAGTATTTTTCACGGTTGGGTGAGCATATACCTCGTATATAAGCAGCACACTAGAATAGGATATTTAGTTTTAATCTTCTCCTGAAGATGCTAACATAGTTGGCGAAACACGTGTCGAGGCGTTAAAAAATCGGTTTGGTTAGTGGTAAAACAGTGTAGTGTATCCCATTGTTTACTTTGATTCTGTGTCCTATGTCACTTGTTATAATATCATGTCATTAGGACTTTGACTTATGTCAAGGTTCTCATAATTAATTCCGTGTTTCTAACCTTATGTTGGATTCAACACGTTTTTGGCTCTTGGAAATCAAAGTGCGCCCTCTCAAGGGTACGGGACCCTTTTCCTGTAGTACCTACACCAATATGGTTATTTAGAGCACCTTGTGTGCTCGTCAAGTTTCCTTTCTGGGACTTGACTTTTGATTTTATATCACAAGTGCGCGTTCTCAGGGCACGGGGCCCTTCATTTTGAATGGAAACCCGTTTATTTCTTCCAATTATTTATTCTTATTATTATCAATGATATTATGATGAGAGACATCGGCAACTTTGTTGAAACAAATAATGTTCACCTACAGGTAATTCTATCTTTTCTTATAACATTTTGTATATTTTCACATATCATTTCTTGTAGTTATTTCTAAAATACGGCTGAAGATGGACTTTTCTAAGTTCGAAACATGTCCCGTTGAATAAATACATCAATATTAAAGTTGTGGAGATGACTTTGAGCTCTCCTTCCTCCTTTTAAAAATTCTACTCCACTTTGAGCAAACATGGACTTCTACTAGAGATTGAACTCTGATCTTGATGAGCTTGTATTTCAATAGCTCTCATATCGGTAATGAAAGCGAAATATGAATTCAACAAATAATATCTATCGTGTTGGATAAAATGATTTTAGGAATTGATTTGATATTTGGTTTGTGAAATCAATCAGATTATGGGATTTTTCCTCAAGCTTGACAATATATGGATAAATCGCAAGAAAACCATGTTTCTAGTTAACTTTCATGTATAAAAAATGTGTCATTCAAGTGAATCATGATATATTCATTGTCCAATTATGAAAAGAGACAGTGAATTGTTCTCAATGCGATCCAAAAGACGGCGGAAAAGGAGGTGAAATTTGTCACATCATGATGGAATATTTCAATTAATAATGGTTTGTGCATTTTTTCATTATCGAATTCGTGTTTTTCAGACAAAATTACGTGAGTCTACAAAAAAATTGCGAAAAAAAACCATCGCATGATAAGTGCAAACTCACCATCAAATATCTCACAAAACTCACCTTCGACTACCAAAGAAAACACCTTCCTCTGCCTTTCGTCGCTCTGCAAACTGCACGAATAGTTGCCCGTGTCTCCTATCCTGGTGTCGTCAAAGACCAGCATCTTTCCTGCAGCCGTTTCCATGACCGAAGGGCGCGTGTGGGACCCTAGAGGGCCTTTGGGCCCCCTCCACATAACCAGCTGACCCCCCTCGTCTCTGCAGATGACGGCGATGGTCTCGCCGGGGAACTTGGTCCAGCTAGAACCCGTCAGGTAGATGCTGTACACCACGTCTGGAAGAAGAGAAGAGAAGATTGAGAGGTTTTCTTTTTTTTATGTTCTGGTTCCCACGAGAAGGGATATCCTGTAATGACTCGCTGTTCGTTGAATAAACGAGTCTTTGGAGAAAGATGTCCTGCAGATCTTCAAAGTGACCACGAAGGGGTGCGAAGCCTCAACTCGACGGGTTGATCTCGCGGGGACTGCCAAGGGAGATACAATCGATGATATTTCAGAAGAGCATCGTCCATGAAACTATCTGAAAAATTGAGCCAGATCACCAACTTTTCTACGGTGTTCCAGAGAAGGGAGTGAGTTTGTGAGCAAGGCATCACCCATGAGACGAATTGCCCTTTTCTGGACAAAATCAAACAGTTTCAGGGTATGTTTGGGTGCTGCACTCCAAATATGGGAACAGTATTCCAGGACAGGTCGGATCTGTGCCTCATAGATCATAAGCAGCTGACTGGAAGTGAAATTGCTCCTGGCACGAAACAGAAAACCAAGGTTGTGGGATGCACTTTTAGCAATTGATCTCACGTGATTTTCCCAAGAGAGGTTATTGCTGATAGTAATGCCAAGCATCGAAATGGAGGTCATCAAACGTATGGTTACTCCTGACATGCTTATGTTTGGCACAGTGAGGTCGGCTTTTCTAGAGGAAAGGCATGTTTGTGTTTTGTTTTGCAATAAAATCTACCAAGCTATTGGATCCTCATTCGAGAATTGTTGCTAAGTCCATATTTATGTTGTCAACATTCCTCCCTCGTTCGTTTCTGATTCGCCCTGCTGGTATTGGAGCCCTGGAAGAGAAGGTGGTATGGAGGGTACTATCATCCGCGATGCTGTGTACTGGACATGGAGTTGCCTCCAACAAATCGTTGATATGGAGTAGAAATAGTGTTGATGCTAAAATTGATCTATGCGAAACACCAGCATTCATGGTAAGAGAGTCAGATGAAACTCCGTCGACCACTACATGGAGAGACCTGTTTGGGAGAAAACTAGCTAGCAGAGAACATAGCTGGGGAGGCAAGCCATAAGATGGAAGCAAGCGAGCAGGTCACCAGTTGATCTCTGATTACGGAAGCCATATTGCCTATCGTTGATAAGACCTAAATGTTCCTGGTATTTCATGAGCTCGATGTTGATAGCTCTCTCCATGATCTTTGAACTGATAGATAGCAGTGCGATCGGTCTGTAGTTGCTAGGTAGGATCTTTTTGCTTTTTCAAGGAACTGGTTGCACTCATACAATTTTCAGTTGTACGGGACTATCCCCAATTTGTAAGAGTTGTTGAACAACTTGCAGAGAACAGGTGTTAGTTCGGGAGCACATTTCTTGAGAACAATCGGTGGGATTTCGTCGAAGCCACAAGCATTGTTGGTGTTGAGATTCAATGAAATCTTCCTTATAGTAAGTTGGCTAAAAGTGATCTGGGGCATATGACTGTCAATTGGCGTTATGTTTGGAGGTTGTTTGCCCGATGAATCCAGAGTGGAATTCACAGCAAATAATGCGCAAAAATATTGGTTTTCTTCTGGGCAGTTGTGGCTAGTGTTCCATCTTCCTTGGTTAGAGCAGGAAACGAGCTGGTAGTGAAGTTTATTCCTACAGCGTTAGCGAAGGATCTTCTGAACATCGTTGTGTAGACTGGATCCGCATGAAATGCTCTGTTTCCTACGACCAGTACGACCACCTATGGAAGCAGCATATGTGTTGATGCTCAGAAAGTATCTCATATCAGCATAGCAATGCCGAGGCAGTGTGGCAACTGTGGCAATATTCCCGCACGCTCACGTGATCTTTGTTTCGTATTTATCATGATTAGATGAATTGGATGATCATAATACTGTCAAAAAGTACAAATGCCTATCAAATGACATCACTCAAACTCGCGTTCATTTCAAGATCTTTAATTATAAATCAACTTCGCTATTAAAACATCGAGTACAGTGAAATTTTGATCAGGTCAGCGGAGTCATAGACTTCAGTTCCTGCAGAATTTGCAAAAACCGCTTATCGTGCGATAATACTTAGGTAAGCAATATCGATAGGTAATTGCCATCCCCATTGCGAGAAATTGCGAACCTAGCATCGATTTCGAATATAAATAGTCGATGAGGCATCTTTATTAATGATACAAGTCATTAGTAATAATCAATAAAAAGATGTTCGCTGTCTCCACGACTTCAATCCTGCTGGTCAACCCCATGGTAGACTCTGTATTGTGAGTACTATTTATTCAAGTGTTGTTTTGCGTTGTGTTGCATTTGGCAAGCCATTATGTTCTTTCTTCTTTGCTAACCTGCTATGTGGCAAGCATTTATCCACTAAATCAATTAATGTCGTATTTCATATGAAAATTGTCTTGATACTTTATTTGGGGATGAATGTGGTTGAATATTGAAATGATCAAAGCATCTCGTCAAGAAGCCAAGCGAGTAGCTAAGTTACGACACATAGGAGGGTCAACATCTGAGTTGCGACATTTGGTGGGAGCGCTACATGTAGCTCATTTATATTCGCAAATTCGTCTACATTTATTTATTTTTTTCACAGCATTTTTCTCTCCCAGTATCTCAAAGATGAGTAGATAGGTACTTAAAAACTGGGGGACCCGTTCTTCTAAAGGGGGAAGATGTGTCGAGAAGTACAAAACTCGCGTTCGCGTTCATTTCAAGATCTTTGATTATAAATTAACTTTCTCAAATTGAAACATCCAGTACAGTGTGGTTTCGATCAGGTCAGTGGAGTTCATAGACTTCAGGTCCTGTAGAATTTGCAAGAACCGCTTACCGTGCGATAATACCTAGGTGAGCAATATCAAATGGTAATGGCCATTCTCATTGTGGAAAATTGCAAACCTAACATCGATTCTGAAATTTCGTGTTCCTTCCTCTAAGGAGGAGGAAAAAATTTCCGGAAATGTGTTTAGTGGCTATGGTAACGATATAAAATACAAACTTTCAATTGGTCGAAAATGATGAGTGTGAAATTTACTGTAAAAGTTACCAACTAAGCTATACAAGAGTACCTATTCATCAATCTAGATTGAAATTTCAATATGAGCTGTGAAACTGTTTATTTCAATGTTCCAATTTAATATGAAGCTGTACAAAGAGAGGATTTCTGTTGTAGCATTCTCGAAACATCAGTATTTTCTGTATCTCTGGAATATCGCTCGATGGCTTTGTCACGATTTAATCAGAGTTTGCGAACTGCTGTTCCATTATCAGGATAACTGTTCAGAATTGTTGACGCACTACGCAGTGAAAACTTCTGAGCTTGATCTAACTTTTGGGTACATGTCGAATAGATTAGAGTTAATATAATTTGTCAATGCAAATATGGTTGCCGAAAGAATTAGATCCATCGAAATTATTTCTGTTCTGAATTGAGTCCAAACTGACGAATATTTATACAAGAAACTAGCTGACCCGACTAACGTTGTTTCGCTTGATAGATTATTTCTAGTAAATGTTTTCTTAGTGAATTAAGAAATAACTCACTAATAAAAGAGTGTTTCTGTGGGTTTTCAAACTACGATTTATCACAGAGCTCGTCAGCCATCTTGAATTTCCTAAGTTTGACGAAAGGATAATGATATACGAAGAAATTTGTTTAGTTGCTATGGTGACAATACGAAATATGTTTTAGAATTGATCGAAAGTTTGGTGTGAAATATTCTCCTTTATTTCATGTCAACCCTGAACCCTTATCTTCTCGCGGGATCCTCATAACAAATTAAAACGCCGCGAATGAGCGTTTCCTTCATCCGTCGTCATCAATCGTGGTGTTGCCGAAGCAAACACTAATCCAGATGATAAAAGACTGGAAGGGGGCGAAAGCCCGAACAAACAAATCCTTAGGTCTCCTATCGATCATTGCGCCTTATTAATATCTTCCATCCCTTCTAGATGTTGTACCGACCGCTTATCGAAATATGATTAATCAGAAACAGATGAATAGAATGAAATAGAATAGCTTCATTTAACCATTATTCCAGATTCTTTGAAATTTTCTCTCCCCAAAATGTCACTGCGTTAAAAGAATTCTCCTATCAGTGACAATTTGTATTGGAAAAGGTTTGGACAGGTTTGGAGAAGAGAAATGAAGGTATATAAAAAAAATATCAAATGTTCACTTAGCATTTGAAGTTTCGGGAACGAATCCCTTCCCGTTTTCAATATGAAAAATGGTTATTTGAATATCAAATTCGTATCTTGAAACTCTTCAGTTCTCGGTGACAATTAGTGACGTAGGCTATCAAATGAGTTATAGGATATTTCCATTGATTAATCTTGAATTTACCATTTTTAATTTCAGATTTCAGTAGTGAATACCATGTCCTAGCTATATCAACTGAACAAGAAGCGATACTTTTGTCTCCGTTCAGAAGAATGCAAGCAGATTCCTTGATTTTTCTCTTCTGGTTGTTTTCTTCTTTTCCAATGATTCTAATATTCCACTCTGCCATATTATTATGTTGTCCGTCTTCAGTAAGGATATGTTCAGCTAGTTACGATTCGTCGAAGTGTCTTCTCTTTATATTGTATACTTATGATCCTTCGTCCTCACTGAAAGAGGTTTCTTGGTTTCACCTGTGTAAAACTTTCCACAAACACAAGGTATACTGTAAATACAATTTTTTGATCTCAATGTATTTTCAGTTTTGAACTCAGTTTCCACTTGGAATTTATCACCAACACGTTTTATTTTTACCGATATGCCCAGAATGTATGGTATTATATTTGTCGTTATTGATAGTTGATTTTGTTGTGTATGACCCTGTTTGTTTTCGATTTGATGAATCGTCCTATCGAAAAGTTGTTGGTAAGATGATATTGATTTGGCTCTATCATGAAGTGATTCGATTATTCCTTTCTTAATACTTTTCTAATGATTTGATTGAAAGTTCAAGTATCTGTTAGTATGGGTCTTTTCACGATATCGATATCACGATATCGAGAAATGGTAACTGATTGTTATATTGAATTTCCAAAGTGAACTT